CTCGGCTAATGAGGATTAAATAAGATAATAAATAATTTTATTTATTTATTTGTTTACTTACTATTTAATCTTGTCTATTCGAATTTAGTATAATAAAAAATTGGATGACTTTAATTTTTGTTGACAAGTCGTCCCAAACTGACCAACTCAACCCAACCCGACCGATACTTGATTGGGTTGGGTTTCAACTTTTACACGGGTTGAGTTGTGTTAAATTTTGATCAAACCGATCATGTTGGGTTGAGTTTGGGTTGAGACAAAAATCAACTCAATCCAACTCATGCCCACCCTTAGATGCAGAGATGAAGGAAACGTTCAACTTCTTCGACTCGGATCATGACGGAAAAATAACGACGGATGAGCTTTTTAACGTTTTCAGAACGATTGGTGACGGATGGTGCACATTAGAGGATTGCCGGCGCATGATAAAAGGTGTTGATAAAAATGGGGATGGGTTCGTCTGCTTCGAAGACTTCACTCTTATGATGGATCAGCAACGATAGTTTGAATTAGTCTAAATGTACATAATGGGGTACCGAATGGTGTCCCCCTTCTCACAATGTGCGCGGGCCCCATGTGTATTTAATTGGAGCAAATATTATGGTCCCCACCTCCTAATATGAGTGGGGTGTAAAAGATTCGGTACATGCTCACCCCAAACAAGTAGACGGGGTTATTTTAATTGGATCCATTTTTTTCTTCTAATTTCTCATTTGGGGTGAAGTCTATCAACGGCTGAAATTGATCCATCTTGTTTAAATTGGGCCCATGCTAATATGATTCAATATCCATTTGGGGTGAAGTCTATCAACGACTGAAATTGATCATCTTTTTTTAGGTTTTATTTATATTTATTTTTCTGGTCGGTTGGAAATATTAGAAAAGTATTTTTTAAAAAAGGGGAGGTTTGGAGTGAAGTTGGAGCCCCTCTTTGACAACCATTATAATAAGTTTTTTCGGGAAAAAAAATGAATTTTAAAATAATGATTTTTTGAAGAATATGTGATTAAAATATAGGAAATTTTTTTGAATTTACATACAAAATATTTTATTGTGTGAATGTGTGATTGAAAATGAATTTAACAAAAAAATTGTTTTAATGATTGCCAAGCCGGGCCAGCAATGTCAATTTACATGAATATGTCCACCACTAGACGACAAATTTTTCTTTAAAAATTTGGAGTTTAAATTAATAATTTTTTAATAACAATCAGACAACACTGATCTCTCATCTCGTAATGCCACGTTTTACGGAAAGTGCTCTTTATTCAAAGCATCGCCATGGCTTCATGTTCAAAACCAAAATGTCCAAAAACTGCAGCTGCCAACTCCCCTCTGACCTCGCATTCTCGCAACCACCACGTCTTTCATCTTTTCTTCCACCCTCCTGCAACAATTTACAACTCAGATCCCATTCACAACTACAAATTACAGAGCAACCAAAAACACCATCTCAGCCACTTGTATGAAAGAGAGGAGTGCAAAAAGATCGGTTCAGTCTGTCAGACAACCGCCTGACCATCCTAGCCGAGTAAACTCCGCCAAGAACGATCCTCTACTGCCCGATGACCCCTAATGGGAGCCATAGAGCTGTTAATCACGCTCTGGTCAGGCGGGCATTTGTCATCCACCAGACTTGGTTTCCTGTCTCCTTAGAACTCAAGGATACAGAGGTACGAGCCTATAGAACAGATCCTGTTCAAGTAAGGTCGTGAACAATTGCATCCCAATTCTGCTATTTATACAGGTTATTTCCTAGCTTACCTTTCGATGTGGGATAGGTTCCTATTTTTTTATATATGAGGGATTGCTTGCATCAACTTATTTTGAGTATTTCTGTTCGTATATTCAATGGCTTCCTCCATTATCGTTACTGTTATCTGTTTGCTGCCTTTACCTTTCAACCTCATCTACCCCTAAAAATCGTCTTCATCTTCATCTAGTGATTATACGGTTTTACAAAAATTAGTTAGAATTCTGCTTTACCACTTTCTTTCCTTAAGCAGTCTTTGTTCTATGCAGACACCGACGGCTAGTTTCAAGAAGCCAATCGGAAGTGAGTGTATCTGGCCATAAGTTTGTGGGATGTCCAATGCCATGTGGTGTGCAGATAAAAAAGGGGTACAAGGGATTCCAAAAGGAAGTCCAAAAGTGCCTTATCAATGTTTACAATTTGAATGGTTGGGAAGCAGGAATTGGCGTCATGCTAAATCAACTGAGCAGTACAGTTGTTTGCAAAACCACATGATGAGGAGTTGCAGCTCGCTTGTGACGGTAAATATGGCACATGCAATTGTGACGTCGAATGTCACCGTTGAGAAGCTGGATTACTTTTTGAACAAATCAGTTAAAGGACGATCAATCTGGTATAAAGACAAGAAAGTTCGGCATCCTTGTCTTGCAGAAGATATCGAGAGAGACGTACAACTGCTCTTGCGCACTTCATAAGTAATTTATATGTTAGCTTGAGGATCTTTGAGTCCCTCTGTTGGTATGTAGCAGAACTCTTCTAAGTTTTATGAAAATCAAATTGATGATTTAAATCTTGGCAGTGCATAGAATATTCCTCTAGTTTTGGGCATACATTCAAAGATCTTGTGCTGTTAGTTGGCATTTTCCTTCCGAGGAATTTGGCAATGTCAGCATGAAAATCTGATGCCTAAATAATTATCATCTAATGAGATATGCAAGTTGATTTTTCATTATGAAGAAGTTGATATCATGCTTTCAAATTCCCTTCTTCAGGAGCTGTTTAACACCCTCAGCGTTATCAATGAGTGAATCCATCAGACAAATGTACAACGTAATGCGCAATTCAGAAGGGTTATGTGTACTAATTTCATAAGCCGTCAAGTTTAATAGCAAAGTCTTTTCTGAATCATCAACGATGATTGGAGGAAGTGTAAGAGTACCAAAAATAAGGCGAGATAAGTTTTTATCTCCAATATCGAATTGTCTTCTCCTTGTTCTGTTTCTGTATTATCAGTACTATTACTTTCTGTATTTGTTAATTAGGTGCGAGTGCAAGTTATTTTAAAATTTTGATGGATTAGTTTTAATTTTTGTAATCATCATTCATTTAGTATTTTGCAATATCATAGGGGTTGAATCAGGTTAGATGGTTCAACTGGAAAAATCAGGGACCGATTCAAAACAATGGAACGTAATACAATTATTGCTCCAGCATACAACTAAGAACACACAACAAAAAAACAATGGAAACCAACAGTAAAAGAACAAACTTTTGCAGCTGAAGAGCTTGTACGAGATCGTCGATTTAGGAAGTCTTGTCTTCTGAGGTTAGCGCGGAAAAATAGCAAAATATGTCTGTACCATGGTAAGGAGAAGGGCGAAAATTGCACCTAGAAAAGCCAAGATAGTCCAAGGACTGCTAAAATGGTCGTGCAGGCATTCCGCCATCCAGACTAGTCCTTTATTCTGGCAATGATCTTCAATCTGCTGCTTAGTATCTGCATATGCATGAAGATCAGGCACCAAATCAATAGCTATCTCGTTAAAGAGTTGTGCCAAATGTTCGTCACTGCCTAAATTGTTGACAAGAATTCTTTTCTTCCTGAGCTCTTTAACATCATTGGCATTATCAATGAGTGAATCCATTAGCCAAATGTATGACGTAATGCGATAATCAGATGGGCCGTGGGGACTCATTTCGTAAGCCACCAAGTTTAATAGCAAAGGTTTTGTTGAATCATCAACACTGATAGGAGGAAGTGAAAGAGTACCAAGAATAAGGTGATTTCTGAACTTGACATCAGTAATATGGTAAGTTTTACTTGGTCTGAAAAGAATTCCTTCTGATTTGAGCTCGGTTACTGAACGATATGAATGCCACTGGACTGATTTCTCCATGTTTGTTTTTTCAGGAGGTTTCCCGATGAGCTGGTCCCGCGCTAGATGTAGAAGGTGAGGAGGGCTAGCATTCAAATCTAATTTCCATTCATTCTTTTCTTGATCACGTTTTCCCATCATTCGTTCATGTAATTTTTCAAAAGCTTTAGTGCATGTATTTTTCTGAGGTCGCATTACAGTGAACTTCCGATCAATGAAATTCTGAATCAACTCTGTCCTCTCGTTTTCTTTTTTGAACCTGAATTTCATTAAAACATTTAGTATTAGTAAAGGAATTTGATTCTCTAGCAAGAACAAGTCCCTCTGCACAAAAGCAAGGTAGCAACTTCCATGCTGTAGTGGATCTACTTCTTTTTGTTCCTTATCTGTCCCATTGGAAACATTTCCTTCTTTTAAGATTAACATAACATGAAGCACAAAGCAAGCATCAAGAAACATCATTCTGTTGAATACTTCATCGTTATAACATTTAGTTGAGCCTTTCTCATAGCATTCGCGGGCAGTTTTACCCTCCCTTGCCACCGCTTTATACATCTGTTCGATGGAGACTTTATTTTCACAGGCATGACAAAATTTCTGCGCGATTGGAATTTTTAGTTCCTCGAATGCTTTGAGCTTTGGATCTCCACGATGATAAGGGCCTATCGAAACTACGAGAGGAACAAAACAAACTTTGTTTGCTTCACGCAGCAGTAATGGAACCCTTGCTATTTGGGGTTTCTCTGTTGTGTCTTTAACATAGTTCTTTATAGAAATCAACCACTCATCCTCGCTGCCCTCGGTAATGTTAGCGGTTGATTCTTGTGATTTTGCGCAAATTTGAGGGATTTCAGCACTCTGGTTATCTTCTGTGGCTCCAACTGTTGTCATCCCTTGAACGTGAGCATGAATTTGAGTCAGCACATATTCTTAGCAGCTTGTTTGATAAAATTTTATCAACATAGTCAAAATTTAATTTTTAAACACAGCTTCAAGGAATCCCTAATGTTTATCAACTTTTCAACCACATATTTCATTAACTTTTATAAAAATCTGTTTAAAAACTTTGTCAAACAACTCCTAGATTGAAGTTTTAGGTCTACCAAAACAAAACAATAATCATATTAGATTTAGAACTTGAGAAGAATTTTGAAAAACTTTATTTTTATATCCAATTCTATCTTGAAAAATAACCTATGATTATTAAATGCAACAAAAGAAGAACAATATATAAGGTAGAGTTAAATGTAACAAACAAGAACAATATTTAAGAAAAATCCCTCAGGTGAGGTGGAGTGGGGATACCTTTTGATCCCATGGAGGATAAGCAGGAAACTTATGTTTGAGCAATCAGTAAAAGGATGTTTCTTTGTAATAACATATGAAACATTTTCTTGTATTTATACTTGTCATGAGAAGGGAATATCTCAGACAAACTTAATTTTGTAGAATCACTTTAGAAAACTTCCTACTTAATTTTCAGCAAATTATAAACATAGAATAATAGTATTATGTTGTTCTTTTGGAACTATCTTTTCACTATCACAAGTTTAGGATATTAACATGCTAAGCACGAGGAATTATTAAACGTAATAGACACACCATGCAAATCTTAAACAATAATTTATTTATTTATTTAGTTCTTGTTTTGTTTACATAATTAAATTTTTTAGTAAATTTAGATAAAAGTTGGTGGAATGTGGTTGAAAAGTTTTGAGTTCCACGAAACATATGATTAAAATAAATTCTTGTTTTTTACTTAAATGTTAATGAACTATTTTAGATGAACCAAACAAGAGCTTATTATTTTTGATGTTATGATTTCTCCTTTGTATTTTGTCAAAATTTTAAAATCTGAAGCAAAAATAGAAATATTTCCTCTATATTATAGGAGGATAAAAGAAAATTTGATATCTATAAGAATGGAATTTTCATTTATTGACTGCAAAAATATAATATTATGTATTGTATAATATTATTCAATATTGTATACCAAACACATCATTAGTGGTGGAATTCAACAAAATGGCAAATAAAATGGTTGGATCTTCCTTCAACTTGTCAAAAAAAGGTTAGATAACAAAATAATATATTGAACTTGAAAAATAATGTGTAACAAATTAAATTGAGGCGCAGTTATCTCTCTTTCCTTAGGGAGATTTGGGAATAAGTTGACTCGACTTATACAAGTGCATATAATAACATCTTTCCATAATTTAGTGTAATTTTTTTCACCAATTATGCGACATCGTTAAGAAAGAAAAATAAATTTAAGTTTTGAGAGGTTTACATGTTTGGCAAATAACAACCCGACTATATCTTTGTTTGCCTCTTTACATGGTACTTATAAGTTAGAACGAGGAGATTCACATGTGAATCCTAGTATTTAGTATGTATCACAAAAGCAACTATTTTGAACAACTTTATACGCACATAACAATTTAGAGAGTTGTAGCATTACATCTGCCCACTTTGTACAATGTCTTTGAAATATCATAAGTTAAGAATATCAACATGCTAAACATAAGGAGTACTCAATCAAACTTTATAGCATAATCAAGTTTTTTGTTATCGTCACATATGTACTTATAATTTCTCCAAAGTAAATATAGGAATATTGAATGATAATAGAAATTCTAGATTTATAAGCATGCAATTTTAGTTTATCAAGTGCGTGGATGTTATATCAATGACTCACAAACATTTTTGAATGTTTAGAAATGTGGATTTAACAATATTATTCTAACAAGCGTCATGCTTGTTTCATGCTTTTTCAACTCCTCTTCAACGTCCCATCTCAATCCAATCCAATATGGCTGAGAGAATAGGATCTGATCAGCTTCAAAACAAGTTTTAGTTGAAGAGAATTTGCTCTGCAATGTTAAGTTATAATTTAGAAATTGCTGATCACAAAAGGGTTCCCTCAAATGGAGAAACATATAGGCAACATTAGAAATATATATTTGTCATGAGATTTGCAGTTTAATTAAAAAGTTGACTAAGGAAGATGAGGGTTGGAGACTTGTTCTCAATAATTTTTTTGAGCAGACACGGGAAAATAATTCACCGCGTTCGATCCATTGCTATATCGAAAGATCCAACTTAACTAGACCATTAACACCCTTTATGCCAAAATATAAAATATAAATAGGGTATGAAGTCCGTCAAATTTCTAAAGGAATTTTGTCGCCGAACAAAGGGTATGAAATCAGTCAAATTCAAGCAATTGTCCCTATAGAACTTAACTAAATGTTAAGGATGAAATCTCATATCGAATAAAGATGAAAACAAAGACTAATTTATAAGGATTTGTGTTACTCCTTAATAAGGTTGATTTTTTAACATAGAATCTCGAGTCTTAAAATAGTATCAAAGCTTACTAAGCTCAAACGGGCAACTCGATTCGATTAAGATTCAAAAAATGAGCACATGAATTTCAAGATTAGTCTACTCAAATGACCATTATCTCGTGAAGACATATTAAACGATAAAAATTTCACATCAAATAAAAATGAAAACATATATCAATTTATAAATGTTTGGGCTACTTTTTCCAAACAAGTAGGCTTGGGCATGGATCGGGTTGGGTTGGCTTTGAGTCTAACTCGAAATCGAATTGATCTGTTTGGATAAATTTCAACCCAAATGACCGAATCCAATTGTCGAAACTGAATATTTGGTTAGTCGGTTTGAACATTGGTCCTATTTAAAAAAAATTACCTATTTATTTTGAGTTAAAAAATTTGCTTGCCTATATGTATATAATGATAAATGGTCGATTTTTTCGAAATCATTCTATATATCCGATCAATTAAGCTAGATGTACATCGTTGGTTGACTTCAAGGATGACATCTTCATGGGTGGAAGAAATGTAGGCATGATGAAATGGATGTGTTTAAATTAATGGTGTAAATTGCTGACACATGGAAAAATGTCAACTTGTTGTCAATCATGATGCACATGTAGCATGATTGATATCCGACATTACCAACAATCAATTACACCAAAATAAAAAGTAAGGCTACAATATGAATTTGGAGTTTACAACAAACAATTTTTCTCATTGCTTTCCTTTTCTTTTGGATTCGGAGCTTTGGTAAAAGAAACGTAGACGGTAAACAAATTAAGGTAATTGTTCTTGATGAAAAAGAGCTCCCCAATGGCCTTCATCTTGTTGTGGTGAGAAAGTAGGGTTGAATGGGCCGATGAGAGGTTTCCATAGGTGGCCATCACTAATAAAATTCTGAATCAAAACCACGAAAAAAAAATTTATATATTCCACTAAAATTTCGTAGTGGCCCAATTGTAAAATTGTTTCCGCCAACCTGCTAACAGGGATGCCAACAACATGAAGCTTCACTGCACCTTTAAAAAAAACAACCTATTTTAAAGCTAAGCCTTAAATCGTCAAAAGCTTAAGCCTTAGAGCCATTGTTGGGCTCAAAACTCAATCTACCAAGGCTTGAGCCATTATTTAAGACTTCTTGCGCATTTTCATGACCTAAAATATTTCAAAATTAAATACATTTAAGTTGCTCTAAATCTTCTCATAAATCTTCTCATAAATCTGCCATCCAATTCTGCCTTCCTGAAATTCTACCTGAGACAACTAAATTTTCATTTCTCTTTTCTCCGGAAACCACTAGTTATCTTGATTTAACTATTTCCATATCACTTCAAAAAACAGCAGATATAAATATATGAAACTGCAAATACAGAACATAAAAGTGCCTTTATTTGTGTGTTAGTAAGCGCACAAATCACTCTTCCACTTTCAACCAGAGGGATTTCTTTCAGCTCCTGCTATGAAAATGTATAACAGAAACTTTTAATCAATGCATATGAAATGCATGATGATTGATGAACGTTTTTTGGCTGGGGATTATCCCTAATTTTCACTCCTTTTACTTTCCATTTATCGTTCACCCACATTCACATACACAAGTTAAAAATTCCAACATAAATCATTGATAGCATTTGAGGGGGATGCAATACTTCAAGAAATTGATGTATATATTAAAATATCACAAAACATCTAGTCATAATCGGGAAAAATTTATAGAACAACCATTTATTTGAAAAAGAAAAAGAAAAAAATCATTTAAATATTACAAGAAAAAAACTAACATCATTACTCACCGGAGGCAGAATAATATCAATCGAATTTAAGGAAAAAAAAAAAAAGAATAAATCGAAACTTCAAATTAAAAATGATATTTTCATTTCTTAAAATGTGGAGAAGAATACTCACTGGAGACAGAATAATAATCTTCAAACTTCATGACGGAGCGAATTTTCGTTTTTTCTATTGAAATTCCATAAAATGAACATGAATACTTTTACTGGGTTTTATGGGAAAAAAAATGGACGATTATACTGTGAAATTTGGGTTTTACAAAATGGAATTTAGGGTTCCGTTGAGATAAGAGGGAGAAGATGACCGAGACGAGGGAAAAAGACTGAAAGAGGGAGAGGGCTATTGTTTGCTGGGTTGAGCCAGTCTAAGATTATAAGGCCCAATAAAGTTTTTCTTAAGAGAAGGTGTAGCCCAATGGATATTTGTACACAATTGACAAAAGAACAATTTTAGCACTTTTTGGATTGTTTTTGCCTTTTAGTGCTCCTTTTCAATATAAAAGAATAGTTTTGGATACTATTTGCATTTACGTATATGAACGAAAGTATATTTATATGGTCTATCATTTGAAGTCAATGTCAAGAGATGATACTGATTTTTGACCTCAATAGAGAGTATTCTTGCATCTTGTACAACAATTTTTTAACTTGTATTACAATGTCTTTAATTCTATTGAAGGAGAAACAATTTGACTTTCTAGCAATTGTCAATTCAAATAACACTATTCCCAAGGCTATCGACTTTACATATATAATCTTTTAATTTCTCATTATCTCGATCTTTTAATTTCTCATTATCTCGAGTTGAGTTAATAAATAATTATACATTTTTAAGATGGAGAGATAGCCTAGAAGTTGAGAGCACCACTAACATATGAGCTTACCATTTTTATTATGAACCACCTAAATAGAATGAGAACCCCATCAGTTAATGCAAATGTTGTTTATGATAATCGTTGAGTTAATGTGCTAGTTTCGAGTACAAGTATTCTTTTATTGAAAGGTGACTCGACCTTTTCTTAAGAATATGTCGTGGGTTAGTATTAAGACTTGTGATTTCATCTTAAAAAGTCAATCTTATTAAGAGAGGTAGTCCAAATTCTTATAAATTAGTCAAAAATTTCATCTTTATTTGATGTAGAATTTTATTCCTTAATATGTCCCCACAAGATAGTGACTTATTTGAGCAAATCAATCTTGTTGCTCGTTCAAGTTTAATGGACTCTAATACTATATTAATATTTGAAGTTTTATCTTAAGAGGCCAACTTTGTTAGTAGGGGTGGGCAAAATAAATTGAAAATTGACCAAATCAACCAAACCAAACCGAGTTCAGTTTGGGTTGATTTTGTTCGGTTTTTTATATCATTAAAAAGTCGGATCGAGTTGATTGCGGTTTAAGGAACTATCCCGTTAATTAACCGACTAACACGCTAATATATATTTTTATATCATATTTTTAAATTAAAAAATAAAATAATAAAAACACAAATATAGTTTTTCTCAAATAATTTCTTTACCGCCCACGTTTCTTTTACTAAAGCTCCAAATTTCAAAAGAAAAGAAAAGCAATGAGAAAAATTGTTTGTTGTAAACTTCAAATTCATATTGTAGTCTTACTTTTTATTTTGGTGTAATTGTTTGGTGGTAACTATCGGATATCAATCATGCTATATGTACATCATGATTGACAACAAATTTGACATTCTTCCATGTGGCATCAAGTTACGCCATTGATTTAAACTCATCCACCCATCACTGCCTAGATTTCTTCGACCAAGGGGATGTCTTTATTGAAGTCAACCAAGGATGTACATCTAGCTTAATTGATCGGATATATAGAATGATTTTGAAAAAAATCGACCATTTATCATTTACATTATATATATAGGCAAGCAAATTTTTAAACTCGAAATAGGTAGATAAATATTTTTAAGTAGGACCAATGTTCAAATCGACTAACCAAATATTCGGTTTCAACAATTGAATTGGGTTGTTTGGGTTGGAATTTATCCAAATAGACCAAGTTGGTTTCGATTTCGAGTTGGACTCAAAACCAACACAACCCGAACCCTGCCGAGGTTACTTGTTAGGAAAAGTAGATTAAACCCTTATAAATGGAACTATTTTTATATCTTTATTTGATGATAAAATTTTATCTTTTAATAAGTCCCCGCAAGCTGGTAACTCATTTGAATAGACTAATCTTGAAATTCACGTGCTCATTTTTTGAGTTTTAATCGAATCTGTTGCTCGTTTGAGCTTAGTGGGCTTTGATATTATATTAAAATTTGGGGTTCCATCTTAAAATGTCAACCTTATTAAGGAGTGACCCAAATTCTTATAAATTAGTCTATGTTTTCATCTTTATTCGATGTGAAATTTTATTGTTAACATTTAGTTAAGTACTAAAGGGAGAATTGCTTGAATTTGACTGATTTCATACCCTTTGTTCGATGACAAAATTCGATTAGAAATTTAACGGACCTCATACCCTATTTATATTTTATATTTTGGCATAAAGGCCGTTAATGGTCTAGTTAAGTTGGATCTCCGTGTTGATATAGCAATGAATTAAACGGAACGGTGATCTTTTTTTCATGTGTCTGTTTAGAAAATTATTGAGAACAAGACTCCAACCCTCATCTTCCTTAGTCAACTTTTTAATTAAATTGCAAATCTCATGACAATTATTTAGTTCTAATGTTGCCTATATGTTTCTCCATTAGAGGGAACCCTTTTGTGATCAGCGATTTCTAAATTGTAACTTAACACTGCAGAGCAATTACTCTTCAACTGAAACTTGTTTTGAAGTTGATCAAATCCTATTCTCTCAGCCAGATTGAATTGGGATGGGATGTTGAAGCATATGACGCTTGTTAGAATAATATTGTTAAATTCACACTTCTAAACATTCACAAATGTTGGTGTGTCATTGATATAACATCCATGCACTTGATAAACTAAAATTGCACGCTTATAAATCTAGAATTTCTATTATCATTCAATATTACTATATTTACTTTGGAGAAATTATAAAATTTTGTAGATATAGTAAATATGTGACGATAACGAAAAACTTGATTATGCTATAAAGTTTGATTGAGTATTCCTTATGTTTAGCATGTTGATATTCTTAACTTGTGATATTTCAAAGTACAAAGTGGGCACATATAATGCTACAACTCTCTAAATCATTATGTGCGTAAAGTTGTTCAAAATAGTTGCTTTTGTGATACATACTAAATACAACGATTTACACGTGAAAATACAACATATTGTACATCATATTTTTTAGTTGTTTGATCTCCTCGTTCTAACTTATAAGTACCATGTAAAGAGGCGAACAAAGATATAGTCAGATTGTTATTACCAAACATGTAAACCTCTCAAAACTTAAACTTATTTTTCTGTCTTAACGACGTCGCATGATTGGTGAAAAAAACTACACTTATATATGGAAAGGCATTATTATATGCACTTGTATAAGTCGAGTCAACTTATTCCCGAATCTCCCCAAGGAAAGAGGGATAACCGCACCTCAATTTAATTTGTTACATTATTTTTCAAGTTCAATATATTATTGTGTTATCTAACCTTTTTTGACAAGTTGAAGGAAGATCCCACCATTTTATTCGCCATTTTGTTGAATTCCGTCACTAATGACGTGTTTGGTATACGATATTGAATAAAATTATACAATACATAATATTATATTTTTTCCTTTTTAATAATATACAATATTATTAAATCCACCTTACTAAATATGTTATGACGTATAGTATAGTTGATAATAACCTCCATGCAGTCAATAAATGAAAATCGCTTTCTTATAGATATCGAATTTTCTTTTATCCTCCTATAATATAGAGGAAATATTTCTATTTTCACTTCGGATTTTAAAATTTTGACAAAATACAAAGGAGAAATCATAACATCAAAAATAATAAGCTGTTGTTTGTTTCATCTAAAAATGTTCATTAACATTTCAAGTCAAAAACAAGAATTTATTTAATCTTATGTTTCGTGGGACTCAAAACTTTTCAACCACACTCCACCAATTTTTATCCAAATCTACTAAAAAAATAATTTTTATCTAAACAAAACAAGAACTAAATAAATAAATAAATAAATTATTGTTTAAGATTTGCATGGTGTGTCTATTACGTTTAATATTTCCTCGTGCTTAGCATGTCAATATCCTAAACTTGTAGTAGTGAAAAGATAGTTCTTAGAACAATTATAAGCTTTTTTAAAGTTGTTTAAAATAGTTCCTTTTGTGTTATATACAACAGTAGGAATGGCATACAGGAACATTACTTGTGTTTAAAATAGTTCTTGAAATCAAGTTTATAATTCTTTTATTCAATATATATAACGGAACTATTTTGCTCATTCAAACTTAAAGTGCTAACCCTTGTTTGACGATTTTCCTTATGTTGTAATTTTTTCTTCATGAAATCTATTTAGAAAGTTACCAAAATAATGCATCTTAAGTTCATGCATATCATACTATTTGTAGTATGTTTTGTTTGCTTGGGGTCAAATTAAGAACTTGTTTGGGAGGTATTTTTTTTTCCAAGTAAAAATAATTTTAATAAGGAAATTCAACTTATGAGTCCCATAAAATATGTGATTGAAAACGCTTTTGAAAATAATGTTTTTCAAAAGTAATTTCCCAAACAAGCTCTAAAGAATTGCTCGATGCTTGTAATCTTGCTCGACTTCTCAACGTATCTTAATTAAGTATATACAACTTTTCTATTTGTTTACACACTTAAAATGAAGAAGAGAAGAAAAACTGAATTTTTTTTTTTTAAAGAACAGCATAATACTTCTACGCTTATAATTTGCTGAAAATTAAGTAGGACGTTTTCTAAAGTGATTCTACAAAATTAAGTTTGTCTAAGATATTCCCTTCTCATGACAAGTATAAATACAAGAAAATGTTTCATATGTTATTACAAAGAAACATCTTTTTACTTATTATTACAAACATAAGTTTGCTGCTTATCCTCCATGGGATCAAAAGGTACCCCCACTCCACCTTACGTGAAGGATTTTTCTTAAATATTATTCTTGTTTGTTAACATTTAACTCTACCTTATATATTGTTTCTCATTATGTCCAATTGTTTTGTTTCTAGTAGTAAATATTTACTCTAATTTCTTATTTTTTTTCCTCACACCACATGATGGTTGACCTAAAACTTCAATCTAGGAGTTGTTTGACAACGTTTTTAATAACAATTTAAACAAATCTTTATAAAAGTAATGAAATATATAAACATTATGGATTCCTTGAAACGTGTGTTTAAAAATTTAATTTTGACTATGTCGATAAAATTTTATCAAACAAGCTGCTAATAATATGTGCTTACTCAAATTCATGCTCATGCTCAAGGGATGACAACAGATCGAGCCACAGAAGATAACCAGAGTGCTGAAATCTCTCAAACTTGCACAAAATCACAAGAAACAAGCAATTACATTACCAAAGGCGGCAAGGATAAGTTGTTGATTTCTATAAGGGACTATGTTAATGACACAACAAAGAAACCCCTAATAGCAAGGGTTCCATCACTGCTGCGTGAATCAAAAAATGGTTGTTTTGATCCTCTCGTAGTTTCGATAGGTCCTTATCATCATGGAAATCCAAAGCTCAAAGCATTTGAGGAGCTAAAAATTCCAATCGCGCAGAAATTTTGGCATGCCTGTGAAAATAAACTCTCCATCGAACTGATGTATGAAACGGTGGCAATGGAGGGTGAAAGGGCCCGCGAATGCTATGAGAAAGACTCGGCTTGTAATGACGTTGAATTGTTCAACAGAATAATGTTTCTTGATGCTTGCTTTGTGCTTTATGTTTTGTGCACTAACTTACAGGAAGAGGAACAAAACGAAGTTACTGAACGACTGGTTAAGAGTTTCTACTCTGTGTTGAGGGACTTGCTCTTGCTAGAGAATCAAATTCCTTTACTAGTACTAAAAGTTCTGTTGAAATTCAGGTTTCGAAGAGAAAAAGACCAGACACAATTTAAACAGAAGTTCCTGAAGCCGTACATCTTAATGCCACCTCAGGGACATTCATGCACTAATGCTGTCATGAAATTTCTTGCACAAATGAAGGGACGCAGCACTACAAGTGGTCAAGAAATGAATGAATGGAAATTAGAGTTGGATTCAAGCCCTCACCTTCTACATCTACTGCGGGAACACTTCGTCAGTCCATTTATGCATGAAGACTCAAACAAGAGCGCATTGTTCAAATGGGAATCGTATCGTTCAGTAACTGAGCTCAAATCAGCAGGAATTCATTTCAAACCAAGCCAAACTCGAAATTTTACTGATGTAGAATTCAAATCTCACCTTATTTATGGTACTCTTACACTTCCTCCACTCGTTGTTGATGATACAACAAAATCTTTGCTATTAAACTTGGTGGCTTATGAAAAGTGTCCCCATGGCCCTTCTGATTTGCACATTACGTCATACATTTGTTTAATGGATTCACTCATTGATCATCCTGATGATGTTAAAGAGCTCAGGAAGAAAAGAATTCTTATCAACTATTTAGGCAGTGATGAAAAATTGGCAGAACTCTTCAACGAGATAGCTAAGGATTTGGTACCTGATACTTTTTCATATGCACATGCAAAGTCTCTGATTGAAAATCATTACCAGGATAGAGTACAAGTCTGGATGGCTGAATGCCTGCACAACCATTTTCGAAGTCCTTGGGCTCTCTTGGCTTTTCTAGCTGCAATTTTCGCCCTTGTCCTTACTGCAGTACAAACATATTTTACTGTTTTTCCGCGCAAAACCTAAGGAGACAAGACTTCCTAAATCAATGTTCTCGTACAAGCTCTTCAGTTGCAAAACTTTGTTCTTTTACTGTTTGCTTTCATTGTTTGAGTTTTGTTGTGTGTTCTTAATTGTATGTAATTGTACGATGTTTCGTTATTTTGGACCTATTCCCGATTTTTCCAGTCAAATCAACTAGCCCGATTTGATTCTTATGATAATGAAAATACTAAACGAATGACAATTAGGAAAAAATAGAATTAATCTATCCAAGTTTTATAGTAACTCGCACTTGCACCTTCCATGGAAAGATGCAATTCTTTCTAGATCCGAAGTGATTCTCAACTCAAATAACAAGAATTGTGGGTCGATACTGACTCCAATATGCAATAATTGTACGAGCACCTTCCATGGAAAGATGCGATTATTTATAAATCTGAAGTGATACTCAACTCCAATAACAAGAAGAGAGATGCTATACGTACAACTTGGTGTACAACCCCCTCACAACTTGGCATGGAATTTTTTTTTTTAATAAGATTTGACCATATAGCAAATGCAAGTTAACTTTTCCGCCATGGAACATATAAAGGCATTAATAACCAGTAGGGGCTAAATTTTCATTTCTCTTTTCTCTGAAAACCACTAGTTATCTTCCACTTTCAAACAGCGGAATTTCTTTCAGAACCCATTTAACCAATCACTTCCCAGAGCATATGAAATACATGATGAACGGTTTTTTGGATGGGGATTATCCATAATTTTCAATCCTTTCCTTCCCATTTATCCTTCACCCACATTCACATAATCTCAAAGTTAAAAATCCCAACATAAATCAGTGATAGCATTTGAGGAGGATGCAATACCTCAAGAAAATGATGATAAAATATATATAAAAAAATAAAATCATAAAACAACCATCTAGTCATAATCGGGGCAAAATTTATTGAAAAACTATTTATTTGAAAAAGAAAAACTTTATTTAAATACCACAAGAAAAAACTAAGAGGGAATGAGTTGGAATGGCCACCCTTCAACAAGTTTTTTGTTTAAATGGCATTTGACCAAAATTCTTTAAAAGGAAAAAGAATTAATTATTTAAAAATATCAAATGTCTACTTTACCATCTCTTGTCTAACCAAATAAATGAAGAATTTTTTGAAGGTTCAAGGTTTTGAACCTTTAACCTCTATGAATAAAAATGCTCCACACACCACTAAGACATTGAACAATATTATTTATTTTATTGCAATAACCTATATATATCTTAACAAATTATATTCACATTTACAAAGTCCAATGATTCGAACCTTCAACCTTTAAAAAAAATTTATTGAAATGTTTTCCTCACCACTAGGACATT